TTGTGATATTTTTATTTTGGGGACTTTTCTATATGCGTGAACTTATTTCAAAATAAAAAATATTTTTTAAGTAGGAGAATGGAGATAAATGGGAAAAAAGATTGTTGTTCATTCTTGAACAGGGGTTGTGGGTAGATGGGAGTTCATTCTACCATTCTCTCTACTCTGTATATCCTTAGGGTGTTGTTTTTTTTGAGGCAGAGTCTCTGTCACTCAGGCTGGAGTGCAGTGGTGTGATCACAGCTCACTGCAGCCTCAACCTCCCAGGCTCGAGCGATCTTCCCACTTCGGACTCCTAAGTAGCTGGGTCTACAGGCGTGCACCACTACGTCCAGCTAATTTTTGTATTTTTTTGTAGAGGTGGTGTCTCACTATGTTGCCCAGGCTGGTCTCAAACTCCTGAGCTCAAGCGATCCACCCACCTCAGCCTCCCAAAGCACTGGGATTACGGGCATGAGCCACCGTGCCTGGCATCTACTCTATACATCCCTGAAATTTTCTGTAATAAAATGTTAGAAAAGAAAAATAAAGAATAAATGAAATCAGGTATGTAAAGTAGCTACCACAGTGCCTGGCAAATAGAAGGCATTCAGCAAATCACAGACACCGTTACTACAACTGAGTTCACATCTATCTTGACCATTAGCTTTTGGCATTTAATTGCACACCAGTATTCACTACAGTCCACAGATGTTGGGTGGCGCTCTGCTGGATACTGCAGGGGACACCCATACAAGTCAAGGAGCTTATGCCCTCAGGACTTGGGTGACCACAATAACAAAAGGCAAAAACAGCAAAGGCTCAGGGGTCTGATGAACTGAGCTTAAGATAACAAGCCAACATCATCTCTTTCCTATGTAATCTTACACAAAATAACGTATTAACCAGGAAAATCTCTTCATCCATCATTAAAAAATTAAAACCATCTATTTCAGATAGATGAGCCTATTATGAGAATAAATGAGATGCTCAAAAGTGGCACTGTAAACTCATATTATATAAATGTTAGTTCTCATTTTTTTCTATGTGGAGCCAACACAGGGAGAATGATGCATGTATGTAAGTTCCTACAAAGCACAGTGATACAGTGGTAAAGCGTTACAGGAAAAGATCTCATGTAGCCAGGAGGGCAAAGGAAGTCTTCCTGGAGAAGGTGGAACTCAAGACAGTCCTTAATGGATGAATATGCAGAAAATAAAGAGCCAGAGAGAGAAGTAAGGAGGACTCCAAGCTACTGTTCTATCCTAGCAAAGGCATAAAAAAGGAGAACATCTGTATAGCAAAAGAAACTACCATCAGAGTAAACAGGCAACCTACAGAATGGGAGAAAATTTTTGCAATCTACCCATCTGACAAAGGGTTAATATCCAGAATCTACAAAGAACTTAAACAAATTTATAAGAAAAAAATCAAACAACCCCATCAAAAAGTGGGCAAAGGATATGAACAGACATTTCTCAAAAGAAGACATTTATGCAACCAACAGACACATGAAAAAATGCTCATCATCACT